AAGCCTTTGACTTTGTGGTCCTTTTCAGCAGCACCAGACAGCTAACTAACTCAAGAGCTGGCTCTGTGATGGGATGGTGATGACCCTTGATAGACTAAGGGGACCAAACAGTGTCAGCACTGGAACAGGTTCCAGAATTCTTCAGGGAGCATGTGACACCTCTGACAGTTCTGAATCATGACTTCCTCTCCTTTGCAGATGGCTGCTAGAGAGTCAGAAGGCCAGTAGCCAGGGTGACAGCTAGCTTTGGGTTTGTTTATGTCACTAATAAGTTCCTGCAAATGTTACGGAACTTCTGGATAGGGACATGAACTGACTGATATGGCACTCACCCCAATATCAGGAGGCAGCCTTCCCCTCAGGCCAGTGCGAATATCATGTCCAAACTTGGAGAATGTAGAGAAGGGCTGAGGAACATAGGTTCCAAATGTTTAAAAAAATGCAGCCTGCAAAGGACAGATGATCAAAATGCTGAACCATTCCAGAACCTGAGGTAGGAGAGAAGAGGCAGAAGGAAATGGGAGAGGGAAGAGGGAGATTAAAATGGAGGGATTGTGTTTTCTGTATTTCATGCAGTCAGCCTGTTCTCTGTGTACCCAGGTTTATGTTGCAGGTTGTTTTTTGTACCTGTATATATTTAAGTTGGGTGGTTTGTCCTCACTGGGAGTTTAGCTCCCAACTCTGCATAAGATCCTGAACTTAACCCATGTATTCTGGAATCCGTGATCTTCACAGAGAGCAGTGAAAGTTAGAAAATCTAGATTCTCATCCCAGTTCTAGTGTAGGGGTAACTGTGATACCAGAAAGCACTTGATGGTTTTGAGCTAACATTTTTCAATCAGTAATGTAGTTTGGTGGCTACAGAGCCTAACCAGAGCCTCTCCCAGCTCACCCATTGCAATGTTCCTTGAACAGAACCTATGAGCCCACACTAGGATGGCTAGAGCAGGCCATCGATACTTACATGCCTCTTTTACATAGAATCCTGGGCAGAGGGCTCCATTAATCTACCCATTTTACCTCTATGACAACTGAAGCTGCAAGTTGGAGCAGCTTATCTCGTCACTCATCTTGTGAGGAAAAGGACACAAACTGAAACCTAGGCCTTTCACCAGAAGCAAGCGCCTTCCTTATTATCTGTCATGTTGTTGCTCTTATAAAGTATCAAATAATAATCATTCTACAGTTGGAAGTCTGGGGTTAGATTCCCACCCGAGTCTGCAAAGTGTCTGTTGATTATAACCACTGGAGACCTCCCAGTTGAATATTAATAACTTCTGCGATTTGTATGTAAGAATGTAGGAGTAGGTTGCTTAAGGAAGCTCAAATACAGCCAGGCACTGCAGCTCTTATCTGTAGTCCCAAGCAGTTGTCAAGTACAGGCAGGATGATGGTATATTCCAGGCCAAGCTGGGCTACACAGTAAGACCCCACTGAGAGGGTAAGGAATGACAGATACAAGATGAGTTTCTGCTCAGTAATTTGAAAGTCCTCTGAGTCGAGAGATCAAGGAACAAACTGCTTCTTTGAAAGTATTTGTATCACATTAGTGAGGTAGTCATTCAGAATAGAAATAAAAGTTTTGTGTTTATTAGGGTACTTTCAGGAGAGGAGAGAGCAGTATTTAGTATTAAAATGGGTTAACACCCATAAATCTAATGATTTATGGCTTAGTGCCTCGTCAGCCTCCTACAAATGCCTGAGGAGTGTCTTACAGTCATTTTGATATATACTGATATATCTTTTTTTTTCCTTTTCTTGAAGCTCTGTGGATAATAAGTGTCAGACAGTATTGCTCCAATTCACCTTTGCTCATAGTTTCAGTACATTTAGTTAAGACCCTTGGGGTAAAATATTTATTGTGCAAACATGAAGACCTCAGTTCAGATCCCCAGTGCCCACCTAAAAGCTGGGCTCAGGAGCAGGAGTTTGTAATCCCATTGTATTATGGGAGCATAGAGACTAGCAGACCTGAGGGCTCACTGACTGGCCAGTCTAGCCAAAGCAGCAAGTTTTAGGTCTCAAAACTTAAACCAGGGCTATATATTTTGTTAAGATTGCTAAACAAATGATTTGGGGCATTCGTGTGTTCTTGTCTGCTCAAAGCACTATTCAAGCTAAGATGATACTTGCTTTCTCTTTGTTGTGGTATTTAACATGCACTGGCTTGGACCCAAGTGAGTGGCATTTGATGTTTCTTAGTCTTGCCCAACCCACCATGGATATTTGTCTCAATGACAACATAAGTTTAATGCTCGTTAATACTGCTGAGAGACCAGTGGAGAATGGGTGTGACTTGTAACAGTCTAGGGCTTGAATGGCAATCCTTCTGTAAAGGATCATTTTGTGTCCAATTCTGGAAGCAGTTTTGGTTCTCTCTGTTGTCTATAGATACAAGACTCAGACCATAAATATTCACAGAGTGAGAAAATCCCAAAACTTGATACATGCTTCCTGTGATTGCAGCACTGGACTTCCGCCTAAGAGTCCAGACCTCTCAGTCATGACAGGGACCAGCCCCTTGACAGTTGGATGGTGTCTTTAGGATGAAGGTGATGGACAGCCACCTGGGATTTATGTGCACCATTCCTTCTGTAGGTTTGATTGTGAGTTTGATTAAGAAGGCTACTTTCCAGTGAAGCCTTCCATGGAGAATCTAGCAGAGGGCACACACATTTCTGTATTGGTCACCATTGTCCCCAGCTCTGTATGGGGATGTGTTAGCTGCAATGGGACCTTTCAGGAAACAGCAGGACAATAGTAGGCAGAGTGTGACAAGTCTTTAGAGGGACATGCTTGCTCTAACCGAGGCCCATAAGCAGACTGTACTGAAAGGGGGGAGCCATGAATTGAGCGTTGACAGTGGGCCACAGCAGTCTGAAGGCTCAGGTGGTTGTCAACCATAAGTTTAGCTCAGCTCTTTGAGTAATTTGTCACGCCTGGCTCAGCCCCTGCTGGGCCAGCACGTGCCAGCTTAGTGTCAGAGGGCCTGTTCGCCAGACGGCCACTCAGGCCTAACATCCTGCTGTTCCCCGGACCAGCGGCTTGCTGGGGCCATACACGGAGGGCCGCTCTGTGGTGACAGCCAAGTGCTGTACAGAATGAGCATGCTCATAATGAGACGTGAATGGCATTAGTGGGTCCCTCTAGAATTGGGCCTGAGCAGGCGCCTCTCGCTGAGGAAGTTTGGCAGCCTGTTCATTAAGGCAAGTCACCAGGAGTTCAGCCTGCAGCCCAGGAGCCAGCTCTAGATCACGCTGCCCAGGCCTGGGGCTGTTGTGACCATCCATAGAAAAAAATCATATATCTTCAGAGGGGCCACTTTTGAAAGCTTCCAGTGCATATTCTCCATTTTTCTAAGAGTTTCTAAGAGAAATTCTAGCATGAAGCAGATCCCAATCTTACTGTCTACGTTGGTGTCTGCACCAGATCCTGTATCTGCAGTTTGGCTTGGTAACTACTGAACGTTGAAATATACAGATCAGGGCAGAGAAGCATAGCTATTCCTTTTGCACCTCAGTTAATGAACATTTAAATCGTGATGGTCACACATGGCTCCCAGGTGAGTCAGCATTGCTCCAGAGTGCCTCAGGTCCCTTTGTAGTGTGACTCCATCCCTGAAGATATAAAAGAGCAGGGAGAGAAAATCTGTATCCCAAAATCAGTGTCAAGACTTTGCCAAAAGAAAATAGAGAAGTGTCTCCAGTTTTAAAACAAGCTCTAGAGAAACTACTTGGAAGGGCACAATCATTCCCAACTTATCTTGAAAGGATTGTTTTAAGACACATAGAATGTTAGTTTCTTCTTTGCAGCCCAAGATAAAAAAATCCAAGGGGAATCTACGTTCCCTGGGTTTTGTGTTCATGAAGAAATTGCACAGTTTCAAAATAATCAAAACACATCCTTTAACTTTTGCATCAATAATGAGGAAAGGAAAATGAGATGTCATGCTGGCTTTCCCCCAGTGCTAATTCCTAAAGTTATATGTGCAGCGCCTCCGCTCATTGTCAGATCATTCTGACGGTTCCTGTTATTGGAAGTGCATGATTCACCTTCAGAGGAAACAGAAGCCTCACACAAAGGGGAAGATTTGCTTTCTGCCCTGTGAAAGGCAGCCACACGCAGGGGTCCTATTAAGACAGCTGGAAAGTTGCTTCAGCGTGTTACGCTTGTAAGTTTTATTGGTGACTGGTTTTTGATTACACATTTGAATGTTGTGTGTTCCAGGCTGCAGCTTTAATTAGGAGGCAATGGTTTCTTTCTTTCTTTTTATTTTTTTGCAGTTGCACTGTACACCATTTGCTACATCCTCCCTCCATCTCCATCTTTATTTTCTAATGCTCGTCACTTACCCTGCTCAGAGGCTCTGCTGCCCCTGCAGAATATAATTCCTGGCCTCCTCCTCCCAATTAGTTATGTTTTCTTACCTTTGTTGAAAGTGCTCGCCATCATATCACCAGCTCTTACTTGAAGTATCAGTTCCTTGTGTCCTTAGACCGAGATGAAAATTCTTGTTACCTAAACCCAGAGTGAAGAGGAAGGCTGTGACACCATACCTTTGCAGTGTTGTTATACCCAACCACCTCTCTTCTGGTTTAAGTCAGCCTTCGAGATGTTATAAAAATCAGCGCTTTGCTATAATCCTGTAACTTCAATATATGTACATATATATGATATATATTTAATATAATATATATATTATATGTATGATATATATTATATTATACATATTATATATATTTATAAATTTTATATATATATATATAAAAATGATGTTACTGTTGTATATAAATGAAGCCTGAAAGAAATCTAGGTCTCAAAACTAGCAACTCACTATTATGTGTGTCAAATATTTAACTTTCTGGCAAAATACTAAAGAGTTTCCAAGATGGTTTTCACACAGAATGGGAAAACTAGTAACTGCACTTCAAACAAGTCACCCACTGCTCTGCACCCCATTTTGCACGTGGTGTGTTTGTCTCCTTAACTAATTACTGCAGCTACGAAGAGCGAGCTCTGTATCTGGAAGCAATAATTCAAAACCACCGGGAAGTCATGACATTTGAGGATTTCGCTGCTCAAGTCTTTTCTCCCTCTCCCAGCTACTCTCTCAGTGGAACGGGTGAGTGTCTACATTATTCTCCTCCCTCCAGCTTAAGACGTATTTGAGTAGCAGATGTACACCTGTTTTTCACAGATAAATGCTCGCAAATTTAAGAAGAATGTTCTCCCTCTGAATCAACTAATGAATTTCAAAAGGAATGATGACATTCATTTTAATTTGTTTTGTATCCGAGCTTTTCGCTGTGTTCCTTTCTTCTGCTATCCTGTTAACCCTGGAATCTAGCAAGGTTAATGAACTTTTTCTCAATAATGTGCTCTGATTCATTCAGGACTTGTGAGTTTCTTGCTGAGCTGGGAATATGTTGTTTAAAAGCGATGCCCAAATCACTGCATACTTATCAGAAAAGAGTTCCTCACAGTTGAAGCCGTTGCTCCTAATGCTAAATGGGGATTATGCCGCTGAGATACTAGGGTCAGGGATTAATGCTGGAGACAGGGAAGGACAGTGTCCCCAGGCCCATCATTACAGAGGGCCACATGCATGCTGCTCTCTGGAGTAGTTGGTGTCATGTGGACAAGCCACTGACCAGAGCAGCACTTGGTATGGAGCCTTTAGAAAGTAGATTATAATGGCATTCATTTAGTAGGTCTGTGGAGTTACAGAATGTTCCATGGATTTCCTTATTTTTAGATACATACTATTTCTATATAATACTATCAGTTTGAAAAAAATATGTCCGCCACTTAAATTGTTGATATGATTATTATGGGTTTTTATTTCAAAGAATAAAATTATTACTAGTAAATTTCCACATGCTGTTACAGGCTAATTGCCTGCAAGAGAGTAAGTGGAATATTTAGTTTACAGCATGATGAAATTCTCAATGAGGGGCTTCCTTCACCTTCCCTAGTTTCAGCATAGCTATAAGGATGCTTAATAGATTTCTAGCCCGTGTTAATTGCTTCTGAACACAGGCTTGCTTCTCCTGTGCCGACTTGTTAACAAATATCTTACACACAAAGTGAAAAAAATTAAATTCAGTGAAATAAATCACTTACAAATAAAATCAGCCATGCGTCATTGTTTAACATGGCTGGCTGCAGTCCGTGCCTCTTGGAGCTTTGTTGAGAGATAAGAGAGAGAGGCCAGCACTTGCATGGGAAGCCAGGAGCAGCAGGCAGAAGGCTTGGGAGATAAGCGAGCTGGCAGAGGTGCGGAGCTCCATTTACATAATCACGCCTCTGCTTCCTGGTGAGGCGAGAGAAACACAGGGATGGCCTCTATTGATCTTTGTTGAACTGGGATACTGAGCAACATGAGAAAAGCTTATAACTTAAAGCTTTGATTAATGTTTCTTACATTAAAAAAGTAGAACAGCTGTGAATTGAATTCTTTTATATGCTCTGCCAGCATTCTATCTAAGACAAGAAAAAGAAAAATCTGTTTCAAGGGAAATGAAGATTTCATACCCAGTCTGGCTAGAGGTTTAAAATTGTGTCTAATTTTTCAGTGAGAGAACAGGAGGACTCCACAGCAAGCTAATGCTCTAGAGCTCCCTTCAGCCTCTCTCATCCTTTGGAGACACTGGGACTTGGGTTTCTCAGTGGAGGCTATGGTTTTGGTTTTGGGTTGGTTTTTTGTTTTTTGTTTTTTTTTTTTTAACTGCAAAGAAAACATTTCATTTCTTAAAAATAAAACAAAAAATGGAATACTAATTAAATGTTTATATTTCTTGACTTTTTATTTTTAAGGTTGATGATGAGCATTATTATTGAAATGATCATGGTGCTATTTTCTATGTATATTTTAGCCTCTGTATAAATAAAGTTCATAATTATTCTACCAATTCGGATTCAGGTCCTAGGACTGGAGAAGCATTTTGATTTGTGTGACCACTTTGAAGAAGGGTAGTTAATACTTTTTTGGGGGAATGTTCTTTTTTTGTTTTGTTTTGTTTTGTTTTTTATTCTTTTGAGTTATTTAATAAAAATTCTGATAGCTTGTCTGGGCAGACATTAGAACTTTTATATAGGGGGCAAGAATCCAAATATAGAACACCAAAGTGAATGCTCTTTGTCCTTCAGATCAACATCAGCATCGCATCCCGTCAGGTTCACAGCTTCTACGTGCCCTTCACAGTGATAAGGAAAGAGATAGAAATAAGAGGTATTGACGTTCGGTGTCAGACAGAGCAGTGAGGATAGGCCCCTCTCAGAGCTGTGTTCTCCATGGCATATGGGCAGACTTCACCTCTACTTTCACAGAGGAAAAACACTTTTCACTTATTCACAGTGACTTTTTTTTTTCCCCTTGGGACAAGCACATTAAAACCAGATGAGCCTAGCCCAGCTAACTTACACTCAGAGATTGAGGTGAAGTCTGCTCTTCCACGTAACAGACCAACTGGAAAAATGGACCCTGGACTGCCTACGCTCCCACAGTGCACACAGGGTCTAGTCACACTCTCTGTGGCCATTTATAGCATGGGCTCCCAGGCTCCTTACATACATGTGCACAGACTTCCCTAGCATACAGTCTTTAAGGAAGATACCTGCATTGTATAGTATAGCACAGCCAGAAAGTAGCACACAGTCCCACTGTAGAGAGGAGATGTGCAGGTGAGCTTGACCAGAGACTCTATTGATGGGAAATGCCTGTGACTCCCACACCCCCTAACCACAGTGCCCTAGGGGCCAGAGCACCCAAATGAGTGCACTTCTGTCCCTGAGCTCCCAATTGGGACATGGGACTTAAATATAAGAGTTCATCTTCTGACAATGGCTTTAGAAAGAGGATTCATCCCCCAAGCAGAAACACTATTTTAAAGCAACCCTTTATATCTGTTTCATCCACTGTTTGAATTAATAATACTCTGTATGAAAGGTATTTGGATAGTTTTTTTTGCCTAGCCCTGACTGCAGTTTGCCATTTGATCCCTTTCCTTATTGGCAAACGATAAATAATCTGAAAGGTAGTCAATATTAGCATCTATCTGGTTTATGCTTGCATATTTGTATGTGCTTAACCCACACAGCTATGGGAGTGGAGGACTAAGTTTGTGTTTTCATGTTATCAAGGAAGGGAGTAGCAGAGAGCCTGCTTGTAAAGGGTTAACTGGAATGGGCACCCTCGAGTGCTAGGGAGGGACTGATGTAATCACTGCAGCTCACAGCCAAGTGCATCTGTTCACCATGAGGTCATTCTTCTGCATGCTAATGACCTGGAGAATCCAGTCTGATGTTTGACATTATCCAAAGGGATATAGTGTAAAGCTTTACCTTTGGGAGCTACTCTTACTGCACAAAAAGGGGCAGAGAAACTTGTTTGCACTTACATGGGGGTTTCCTTGTTGCTGGGGTTTTTGATGGTTTGGGTTTGGTTTGGTTTGGTTTGGTTTGGTTTTGTTTTGTTTTGTTTTGTTTTGTTTTGTTTTGTTTTGTTTTGTTTTGTTTTGTTTTGTTTTGTTTCACCCCTGAAGCTGCTCTAAAGATTGTGTCTGGACCTTAAAATCTTAGAGGAATCCACTTGTATCTGTTGATAAGTGAATCTCAAAATAATTGTTATGGTCACAGCTAGCAATTTGGCAGTTGAGAACAGTAGGTATATCTCATGTAATATCTAATGTTCAGCATTTAAAATTACCTTGGTCAGAAGTTGGTGAGAGTGTTTTTATTTGTATAAAACCAAGTTCAAGGAAATTTGTTCTCGGTGACCCTGGATTGGCTGGTGTTTGCTTGAGATGCCAACACTGGTTATGGCTCCTGCCCACTTCAATATTGCTGTGGAGGGCCAGCAGAGGGAGCACAGGTCTTTGTTTATTTATTAGCCTCAAAAACATAGCCCTTGATTTCTCCAAGACAGGGTCAGCAGTACTTTTTCCTTCATGACAGACGAGGTTGCAAAAGCTCCAGGATAATAGAACAAGTGGGAGAAAATGTGTCACCCCGACTTTGTTCCGCTATCTGCTGCTTGAATGTAGGTCATATTTGGGGCTTAAACCAGATTAGTCTGGGTCAGTCTTAAGATGCTGGCACTGCCCAAAGCTGCAAACTTTCCTCATTCTCAGATATGTCCCTGGATGTCCTCTTGTTAAGGAATATTGTGTTTATCTGTCCTTAGAATAGACTTTGGTCATTCTTTTCTGCTTTTCACTACAACAGCTTTTGACATTGTCCCAGAAACTCTAACCTGGTCCACTTGGTGGGAGCCAATAATATAAATTCACAAAGGCACAGACAACTGCTACATCTTGGTCCCAAAGGAAATCTGGGATGTAGATGCTACCCTAGTCCTGTAGTTCACTGGCATTTTTCCCAAAGGGTGAAGTTCCACCATCTTCCCCTTGTTGAAGCCACCATACATGGGTGCTCACTATACCACCGTCTTATAGGCTTATGATTCTGTATATAGATCCTGGAAGAAATATTTTACTGAGTAATTAATAATCAAGTTAGCCCCCAGAAGCAGACAGGTAAAGTCCAACCCTGATCCAAAAAGCTTTTCATACTGGTTGAAAAGATAATCCCCTGTATATCACTCAGGCAGTATCCATTCTTTCTCTCATTCTCCCTTCCTCCATCCCTGTTAAACTGGTCTTAGTAAAGCTCAGATTGATGGCACAGCTTATGCTTATACTTCTTATGTGTTTAGCTTTCTCATAGTTTAGGGAAAGAACATCAGAGAATGTGAAGATAGAAGGGACTTCAGAGAATATCAAGTCTAGCCTCTTCTTAGTAGTTTTGACTAAGTTGAAGCATAAACCAGGAATGAACAACCGAAGATTGCAGACAAGTTTGACAACATAGCCCTCACCTTCTATTCCACACATAGATACAGCAACCCCAGTGCCTACACTGTGACAATGGTCCTATAAATAAAGCAACAGTGGCTGGCTTGTTGTTGATATTAAAGCCCAGAATTAACTTTGAAAATTACATGTAGAGACCCCAGAAATTTTCTGTAAACGTAAGTTCTCTTATGTCACCATCTCCTCAAGAGCTCACAGCCAGCCCAACTTACACCCTTAGCACATTTGACTGTCCCTGGCCAAAATGTTG